CATGCTTGCTATATAATATACATATTTTTCTATGTTTAAAATACTCCAGATTTTTTTTTTTCTGAGACAGCATCTTGCTCCATCACGCAGGCTGGAGTGCAGTAGTGCAATCTTGCCTCACTACAACTTCCGCCTCCCAGGTTTAAGCAATTCTCCACCTCAGTCTCCTGAGTAGCTGGGATTACAGGCACAGGCCCCCATGCCTAGCTAATTTTTTGTATTTCTGGTAGAGACAGGGTTTCACCATATTGGCCAGGCTGATCTTGAACTCCTAACCTCACGATCCACCCCCCCCTTGGCCTTCCAAAGTGCTGCGATCACAGGCGTGACAGAATTTTTAAAATAATATACTAAAATCAATATTTTCACCTATCAGATTGGCAATAATTTAAAATGTGACACCAAGAAATGAAGACTGAGCTATAAATAAATAAAGAAAATAAGACACAATGTGATTAGCCAGGCATGGTGGTACACACCTGTAATCCCAGCTACTCAAGAAGCTGGGGTGAGAGGATTATTTGAGCCCAGGAATTTGAGACCAGCCTGGACAACATAGCAAGATGCTGTCTCCAAAAAAAAAAAAAAAAAAAAAAAGGTGTTAATATTGAGAGCCTGTTGGCAGGACACCACAAACTGGGACAAGCTTTTGTTTGTTTCTTGAAACAGGATCTCGCTCTATCACCCAGGATAGAGTGTGGTGGCATGATCTCAGCTCGCTGCAACCTTTGCCTCCTGGGTTCGAACTATTCTCAGCCTCCCACATAGCTAGGATCACAGGTATGTGCCATCACACCCTGCTAATTTTTGTAGTTTTAGTAGAGACAGGATTTCACCATGTTGGCCAGGCTGGTCTTGAACTTCTGTACTCGAGTGATCTGCCTGCCTCAGCCTCCCAACATTCTGGGATTACAGGTATCAGCCACTGTGTCCTGCTTGGGATAAGCTTCCTAAAAAGCAATTAGTATCACCCATCAGAAGTTTAAATGTGGCCAGGCACAGTGGCTTATACCTGTAATCTCAGTACTTTGTGAAGCTAAGACTAGAGGACTGCTTGAAGACAGGAGTTGGGAGCAGCCTGGGCAACAAAGTGAGATTCAGTCTTGGCCTGGCCTGGTGGCTCACACCTGTAATCCCAGCATTTTGGGAGTCCAGGACGAGGGGATTGCTTGAGTCCAGGAGTTCAAGATCAACCTGGGCACATAGTGAGACCTTGTCTCTAAAAAAAATAAGTAAAAATTGGCCTGGTGTGGTGGTGCACACCTGTAGTTCCAGCTACTCAGGAGGCTGAGGTGGAAGGATCGCTTGAGCCTCGAAGTTCGAGGTTACAGTGAGCTGCAACTGCACCACTCCACTCCAGCATGGGTGACAAAGCAAGACCATGTCTCAAATAAAGAGATCCTGTCTCTATATTTAAAAACAAAAAAAAGGCCAGGTGTGGTGGCTCATGCCTGTACTCCCAGCACTTTGGGAGGCTGACCGACATGGTGAATTCCTGTCTCTACTAAAAATACAAAAATTAGCAGAGCATGGTGGTGCATGCCTGTAATCCCAGCTACTCAAGAGGCTGAGGAAAGAGAATACCTTGAACCCCGGAGGTAGAGGTTGCAGTGAGCCAAGATTGTGCCACTGCACTCCAATCTGAGCTACAGAATTGTACATCCAAAAAAAAAAAATTATATGTAAGGGGAGTGGAAGATTCAACGTGAGAGGGATCTACTTTTGCCTTAGCATTCTTTTGTACTAATCTTATAGTAATCATATATCATTTTTATATTTGGTAGAGGGGAAGGAAAAAATTACAGATTCTAAACTTAGAGCCTCTGAACTGAAATGTCAGGAAAGCAGAACCTGGAAATCTGTATTTTTAACATGTCACCCAGTGACTCCCATGCAGCTAGGCTGGTCATTGGTCCAGGTGAGACCTGGTTCAAGTAACTACTGTAGGCAGTACATGGCAGGAGCTCAATGACAGATCTTTCAAGGCCTAGGAAATAAGCCTGCCCCCAGAATTCATCATGTAATCAACAAGAGAGATCTAAACTCACCTCAAAGACAAAAATGGCCAACCCAAGCCAGCAGGATTGGCCAGTAAGACACTTCTTATATCCCTAAGGAATCAGTGTTTCGCGCCGAATGAACCAAGTACTACCCAGGCAAAAGGAAGCCCTGGCCTGAGAACTGAACAAGTCCTTTCTCCTTTCTGCCAGGAATAACCAGAACCACTAGCATCAGGTAGAATAGGACTTAGATCTCTTTAGCACCCAGAAAAGAGCCTGGCAATAAGTAGTTGTTGAATGAACAGGTTGATCTATTTCAGCCTGAGGCAATTCTAACTCCAGTGCTCTGATCTCATGCTCAATAAGCTACTTTCCCTTTCCAGAGAAAATAAGTTTTGAGCTGAAAGAGGAAAGTTTTGATAGCTGTGAGCTTTGTTTGAAAGAAATAGCTGCCCTCCGTCCGGGTGACAGAGCAAGACCGTGTCTCAAAATAATAATTAACATAAAATAAAATAGGACTGAAAATGGCCTTGGGCATCAGTCTACCACAGTCTGGTTCACACAAGCCTACTCTGAGAAATATCCATCCCCTGGTGGGCACCTGAGCAGGACTCTGGTAAAGTCATTAAGGTGTTGTCCTGCCCTACAGCCCACATAGGTAGTCTTCCTGGGTGGCCACTGGCTAGCTGGTCGTCCTCAGGCAGCTCATTTTAGCTCAGGGCTTAGTCTCACCAAGTGCACAGCTGGACTGACTGCCTACAGCTGGGAATAACAGAGCTACATGGTCCAATAAATTCAGTTGCCCCTAGCCACATGTATCTACTGGGCACGTGAAATGTGGCTAGTCTGAATTGAGATGTTCATTAAGAATAAAATACACACTGGGTTTTTTTGGTTTTTTTTTTTTGAGACAGAGTTTCACTCTGTCGCCCAGGCTGGAGTGCAGTGGCACCATCTCAGCTCACTGCAACCTCCGCCTCCCAGGTTCAAGCGACTCTCCTGCCTCAACCTCCCGAGTAGCAGGAATTACAGGCACATGCCACCATATCCAGCTAATTTTTTGTATTTTTAGTAGAGACAGTTTCACCGTGTTAGCCAGGATGGTCTCGATCTCCCGACCTTGTGATCCACCCGCCTCAGCTTCCCAAAGTGCTGGGATTACAGGTGTGAGTCACCACGCCCAGCCTACAAGCTGGATTTTATTTTATTTTTATTTTTTTCTTCACATAAGGGCAGTGGAACACTTGATTTTAAAGACAGTATAAGAAAAAGAGTATTAGCGAGATATGGTGACTCACGCTTATAATCCTAACACTTAGAAAGGCAGAGGACAATGGGAAGTTTGAGCCTAGGAGTTCAAGACCTGAACATAGCAAGACCTGCTCTCCACTTAAAAAAAAAAAAAGAAGAAGGCCAGGCGCAGTGGCTCACGCCCGTAATCCCAGCACTTTGGGAGGCCAAGGCAGGCGGATCACCTGAGGTTGGGAGTGCAAGAGCAGCCTGGCCAACATGGTGAAACCCCGTCTTTTTTTAAAATAAAAATAAAATAAAAAGAAGAAGAAATAGAATATAAAATAGCTCGGTAGTAATTTTTATATTGATTACTTGCTGAAATGAGTGTATTTTGAATACACTGAATTAAACTATATTATTACAAGTAATTTCCCCTATTTCCTTTAACATTTTAAATATATAGCTGCTAGAAAATTTTAAATTACATAAATGGCTCACATTATATTTCTTTTTTTTTTCTTTTTTTGGAGACACAGTTTCACTCTTGTCACCCAGGCTGGAGTGCAATGGTGCAATCTTGTCTCATTGCAACCTCCACCTCCCAGGTTCAAGCAATCCTCCTGCCTCAGCCCCCCGAGTAGCTGGGATTATAGGCATGTGCCACTATACCCAGCTAATTTTTGTATTTTTAGTAGAGATAGGATTTCACCATGTTGGCTGGGCTGGTCTTGAACTCCTGACTTCAGGTGAGCTACCTGCCTCGGCCTCCCAAAGTGCTAGAATTATAGGTGTGAGCCACTGCACTGGGCCTCATATTATATTTCTAACGGATAATACAGCACATACAAAGTCTTGACAGCAAAAATGAAGACTGACCTCACCTTAGTCTGCATGGCTCTGCCCCACTGTCCTGTAACCTGATTGTATACTCTACTAAGAACACTGTTAAGTGTCTTAAGAGTTCTATATTCCACACAGGAGGAAATAAAAATAAAAATAAACTAAAAAAAAAAAAAAAAAAAAAAAAAAGAAGTTTTATAAACCATTTAATACCTACGTGTTTTAATAGAAAATCTGTAAACCAAGTAGGTAGTGATATTACAATTGCAGATAACAAGCTGGGAAGATTGTAGAATTTATTGGAAATCCATTAATTCTTCTGAAATTCCCCTGTGAACATGTAATTTTTGAACTTCTGTGAGCTATAGAAAATAAAGTTTTCTGTAATAAGTTATAAAATGAGATTTTATGGTAATCCCTACTGCTACTATTATGGTTTCTATGCAAAACAAACCATGCTATTATAAATATCTTCAGTTACAATTAAGATGAAACAGGATTCACACTTGGACCCAGCAGTAGAATCACATATCACCTTTTGGTTGTCATGCTCTTTTGTACTGCTGGCAAGGAAAATGTACAGGTTTGGGAGAGTGGGACGATGGCACCCATGCTGCTCTGAGCGTGAGTTCTCCTGCTGGCTTCTGGAGGAGGTCCCTTTGCTTGACTGTCCACTCATACTGGAAGGACCAAGGCCTTCAGAGGCTAAGAAACTTTCTCAAGGTAACTCTCAGAGTTAGGTGTTCCTGCTTCCTACAGGAAGGCCGCAGCTCCATGATGCAATCTGAGGATCACTTAATATGTTCAAACTTGTGGGATTCAACTGGAACAGACTAACCTAGTGCCTGCTTTGTGTGTCAGAAAACACAAGCACTGTGACCAGGTAACAAAGCTATCCATGACAAAATGCAGAATGAAGATACTTACTTGGGGAACTGGCAGAGACCCGCTTCCTGGTCAGGGTCTCCTGGCTGGGCTTGTCTGAAGCTGAAGGGCCCCTGGTTTGGACATGCCTCTTTCCTGGGCTCTCCTCTGGCTCCAGTGACTTCTCCATTCCATGGAAATACTTCATGTGATAGTGCAACAGTTTGGCTTTGCGGAAAAATTTTAAACAGTCCACAACCTTGCATCTAAACTTGTGGTCTAGGTCGACAGCTGGCGCATTAGATGACACAAAATCATCTGTTTTCTTAAAAGTATTTGTTACTGAAAAAAATAAAAACAAAAGCAAGGATCCCTTGTATTTATCCTAGTTATTACAAAACACGCATTAACACATGACAACTGAAGGTGAAAGACTAGCATGCATATGTAGCCTGAGACATCAGACTGCCGTTACCTCCTAAAATTATTGTTTAGGGAGAATGAAAACAACTTCAGGTCAAATAAGACTCAATTGTGATTCATCTTTAGGAAGAAGAGATCAACATATTTATTTTAAACAGCCATACAAGTTTTCAGGGTTTCACATACTTTAAGGAAAAATCCTAAAAAAAAAAAAAAAAATATATATATATATATATATATATGTAAATATATATATATATAAAGGATCTCAGGCTAGGCACAGTGGCTCACACTTGTAATCCCAGCACTTTGGGAGGCCGAGGTGGATCCCCTGAGGTCAGGAGTTCGTGACCAGCCTGGTCAACATGGTGAAACCCCATCTTTATTAAAAGTACAAAAAAATGAGCCAAGCGTGGTGCCTCACACCTGTAATCCCAGCACTTCGGGAGGCCGAGGCAGGCGGATCGCCTGAGGTCAGGAGTTCGAGAGCAGCCTGGTCAATATGGTGAAACCCCGTCTCTACTAAAAATACAAAAATTAGCCAGGTGTGGTGGCATATGCCTGTGATCCCAGCTACGTAGGAGGCTGAGGCACAAGAATAGTTCGAACCCGGGAGGCAAAGGTTTCAGTGAGCTGAGATCACACCACTGCACTCCAGCCTGGGTGACACAGCGAGATCCACCTCCCAGGCCAAATCAATTCTCCTACCTCAGCCTCCCGAGTCGCTAGGATTACAGATGCCTGCCACCACGCCCAGCTAATTTTTGTATATTTAGTAGAGACAGGGTTTCACCATGTTGGCCAGGCTGGTGTTGAACTCTTAACCTCAGGTGATCCGCCCTCCTTGGCCTCCCAAAGTGCTGGGATTACAGGCATGAGCCACCACATTCAGCCCACAAGAACTTCTTGTGTGTTAAATGCAGTTTACTGAGGACTCCCTTTAGAATGTCTTCCCACCAACAGAAACAATCACCATAAGTCACTCCTACTCTACAGATTTGGTTACCCCAGAATATATTAAATGGACCTTTTTTTTTCTTTTAATTAGAAATTCAATGTGGAATGAATGAACCTTTCTTGAGTGAATCAAATTTTTCCTAAACACAATCACACAATTTCCACTGGAAGCAGGTAGCCTGTTAAACCATTGATACGTATGATTATTTTTTCAAGTGTCATCCTATAATCAGAAGGAATTTTTGAATTCTTAAATTTGATCTAAATCATACTCTACATTTCACAATTAGGTTTGGTGGTCTGATGGATGCTGTTATATAGCCAATTTAAACAAACAAAAACATATACGCACACACATCCCAAAGCAGAATCCCTTAAAATCACTTCTTATATAACAAGAGATATATAAGACTCCAGATCAGTTAGTTGCAGGTAAGAGAAGAAAAAGTTGACCAGGCGCGGTGGCTCATGCCTATAATCCCAGCACTCTGGGAGGCAGATCATCTGAGGTCAGGAGTTCAAGACCAGCCTGGCTACCATGGTGAAACCCCGGTTCTACTAAAAATACAAAAAATTAGCCAAGCATGGTGGCAGGTGCCTATAATCCCAGCTACTCAGGAGAATCGCTTGAACCCAGGAGGCGGAGGTTGCAGTGAGCCAAGATTGTGCCATTGCACTATTGCTTGGGCAACAACAGCGAAATTCCGTCTCAAAAATATAAAAAAGAAGCAAAAGTGACACAATGTGAAATAGAATACACACTTCTCAGACAAATAACTGGACAGGAAAAGTATGTCAGTGGAGAAGTTCAAAACACAAACTTTTAATACATCCTACAATTCTTTTCTAAAACAAAAAATAGTTTATTTGGAATATCCTTCTTTTGACCTATATTAGGTTAAATCAAATAAACTTGCCATTTTGTAGGTTAAAAAAGACTAAGGCTGGAACCATGTGCAGTGGCTCACACCTATAATTCCAGCTCTTTGGGAAGCCAAGGCAGGCAGATCATTTGCAGTCAGGAGTTCAAGACCAGCCTGGCCAACATAGCGAAACCCCAACTCTATTAACAATACAAAATTAGCCAGGTGAGGGGGCTCATGCCTGTAATCGCAGCACTTTGAGAGGCCAAGGTGGGCAGATCATTTGAGGTCAGGAGTTCAAGACCAGCCTGGCCAACATGGTGAACCCTTGTCACTACTAAAAATATAAAAATTAGCCAGGCATGGTGGTGCATGCCTGTAGTCCCAGCTACTTGGTAGGCTGAGGCAGAAGAATCACTTAAACCCAGGAGGCAAAAATTGCAGTGGATCAAGATCATGCCGCTGCACTCCAGCCTGGGTGACAGAGCAATGTTTTGCGTTTAAAAAAAAAAAAGAATAAAGAAAAATTAGCTGAAAATGGTGGTGCACATCTGTAGACCCAGCTACTCAGGAGGTCAAGGCAGGAGAACCACTTGAACCTGGGAGGTGGAGGTTGCAGTGAGCCAAGATTGTGCCACTGCACTCCAGCCTAAACAACAAGAATAAGACTCCATCTCAAAAACAAAAACAAAAACTCTGTACTCATGTGTACATACACTGGTCATCTACATAAGGCAAACAGCGCAGGGGCTAAGTGTGAGTTGTTTTGCTGGACAGCCTATTCCAAATCCGAGTTCTTCCACCTATGCCCTTTGCTTCAGTTTCCTCATGTGCAGGATGGAGATGATAATGGTAACAACTTTGCTGAGTTGTGAGAATTAAATAAATTAAATGCAGAAAGCCTAGAAAGGTATATGGCACATAATAAGTGCTCAATTAATATTGTCTACTATGACTATTCAATGTCATTCTACATTTCAGGAATTAACCTGCTCATAAGCAGAAGAGGGGACGTGCCCACCACCTACAGCCTCACTGCATGATCATGCCAGAGGTAGTATGGTATAATATAAACAGCACAACTGTAAATCCTAGGTCTACCCTTTATTAGCAGCATAAATTAGCTGTGCAAGCTAGTCTATCTAGATTCTTAAAGGAAGAATACCAACTATTTCAAAGAGTTGGAGAAAAGGTTATGGATAATATATGTATTGACACAAAGCAGGTGATCAACACATGGAATCCATTATCATTTCAAATATAAAAAAATTCATAAGCAGGCTTATGTTGTTTCTGGAACATAGCTGGAGACAGCTGTTATATTTATCAAGCAAGTATGAAACCTTTCTTCGATCAGTCTTTGTGTGCCCTGTAAGCACTTCACTTTTGTATATGTCCTCCTAAAAGTATAAAGTTCAAAACCAACCACAGAATTCCTAGTATGGCTATTCACATTTCAGTGGGATTATTATATCCACCTTTTGGGACATCTTTTACTAAAGATTTTCTTTCTTCATACTCACATTATACAATCCAGGATAGTACCAAGCTTGTTCTACCAAAATACTAAACACTGTTTTATTTTTTTAAAACACAAATTACAGTGCATGTCGGTAGGGCATGGTGCCTCACACCTGTAATCTTAGCGCTTTGGGATGCTGAGACGGGCAGATCACCTGAGGTCAAGAGTTCAAGACCAGCCTGGCCAACATGGTGAAACTCCATCTCTACTAAAAATACAAAAAATTAGCTGGGCATGGTGGCAGGCAGCTGTAATCCCAGCTACTCGGTGGGCTGAAGCATGAGAATTGCTTGAACCTGCTAGGCAGAGGCTGCAATGAGGCGAGATCACACCACTGCACTGCAGCCTGGGCAACAAGAGCCAAATTCCATCTGAAAACAAAAGGAAAAGGGAAAAAAAGACATGGCCAACCAGGAGTGGTGGCTCACACCTGTAATCCCAGCACTTTGGGAGGCCAAGGTGGGGCAGATCACTTGAGGTCAGGAGTTCAAGACAAGCTTCGCCAACATGGCAAAAACCTGTCTCTACTAAAAATACAAAAATTAGCTAAGTGTGGTGGTACACGCCTGTAATCCCAGCTACTTGGGAGGCTGAGGCAGGAGAATTGCTTGTATCAGGGAGGCAGAGGTTGCAGTGAGCCAAGATCGCACCACTGACCTCCAGCCTGGATGACAAGAGTAAAACTCCATTTCAAAAAAAAAAAAGACATGGACAAACTGTTGAAAGATAGATATGACTGGACTAATAATCTACCAATCCAGTAAACCTTCCAAAAGGAAGCAAGTTTAGTTCACAGGATAAAAACTCCTTCCCCTGCAAAAGCAAAATCCTTGATTCCTCACAGCTAAGCAGAAAGTACAGCTGGATCTCCAAAGGAGAGCAAGCTTGGCACTCGGGTGGACCAGTTGTCTCTGACAGGCAGTACTAGGATCAGAGAGACTCAGGTGAGCAGGGAAACTCCTCACGGGGGGAGAACTGCCAGATGTCACTATCACAAAGACGCTGGCCAAACCAAAGGCTCTTTTCAATTTGGCAACACTAAGACAAAGTAGTTGCTGCTTTTTATCTGATAGAACAAACATCAAAGAAGATCTGAGCATTATAAATCTTTAACCATGGAAGCTCAGGAAGTAAAATTTCCCAGTGAACTCAAATTAGTGAAGTATAACTCACTGTGATACAAGCAAGCTGTTTTGATTACAAGCCAGTAGATAATCTACCCTGCACTGCTGGAAAAAACAATCAACACAAGCATCAGCGTGAGAAAAGCTGCAAATAGGGTATGAATCAGTTATGCATAACAGCCTGTGACAAAATCTAATAAACTACACAATTTGCTATAATTTCAGAACCACAAATCAAAAAAGTAGGTTCTTCCAGAAATAGTACTCTAAAGAAAAAAAGAAGTAATTAAAAATATTATATATGGCCGGGTGCGGCGGCTCACGCCTATAATTCTAGCACTTTGGGAGGCTGAGGTGGGTGGATCACCTGAGGTCAGGAGTTCAAGACCAGCCTGGCCATCATGGTGAAATCCCATCTTTAAAAAAAAAAGAAAAAAGAAAAAGGAAAAAATATTATATATGAATAAAATGTTTATGCTAACTTTTTAATGATGAGAAAATGTTTAGGATATATTAAATTATAAAACAACAAAAAAGGCCGGCACAGTGGCTCACGCCTGTAATCCCAACACTTCAGGAGGCTAAAGCAGATGGATTACCTGACGTCAGGAGTTTGAGACCAGCCTGACCAACATGGTGAAACCCTGTCTCTATTAAAAATGCAAAAAAAATTAGCTGGGCATGGTGGCCAGGGCCTGTAGTCCCAGCTTCTCAGGAGGCCGAGGCAGAAGAATCGCTTGAATCCAGTAGTCGGAAGTCGCAGTGAGCCGAGATCGTGCCGTTGCACTCAGGCCTGGGCAACAGAGTAATGCTCTGTCTCAATAAATAAATAAATAATTTTTGTAAAAGACACATAAACACCAAGACTTAAGCAATCATCCCTTTCTCATGAAGGTTTTGCAAACTGGACGATTTTACTTTTGAACCCAAATTTTTAGAGATATGAAAAATTATATTTTCCAGACTTCACAACCTTATCCTAATTTTTGCACATTACAGCCAGACGGGCCCTCTGTATGCCCAATAAAGGCCTCCAGTCCAGCCAGTCTAAGGCCCTGTGGATCCCTCTATTTGGCAGGTTGTTCCTACATCCAAGCCAAGCTTTGCTCATCCTTCGAATACCACCTCCTTGCACAATGCTTTCACCCTGGTCTCTCAGAAGAAAAGATTCTGTCCTGCAAGTACTTCATGGATCCTGTAGTCCTTCCCTTTTTATTTGTGTGACAGTTGGTTTTGTTCATTCCTTTTTCTAAAATGTTAAAATAGCCAATGTGCTGCCTTTTTTTTTTTTTTTTTTTTTTGAGATGAAGTCTCACTCTATCTATCGCCCAGGCTAGAGTGCAGTGGTGCAATTTCAGCTCACTGCAACCTCTGCCTCCCAGGTTCAAGTGATTCTCCTGCCTCAGCCTCTCAAGTAGCTGAGATTATAGGTACCCAACACCACACCAGCTAATCTGTGTATTTTTAGTACAGACAGGGTTTCGTCATTTAGGCCAGGCTGGTCTCAAACTCCTCACTGCAGATGATCTGCCCACCTTGGCCTCCCAAAGTGCTGGGATTACAGCCATGAGCCACTGTGCCCAGCCTCGAATGTGCCGCATTCTTTAATTCTCTTACTTACATTAGTGTACTGTCACATCAAACAAGGGAGCTAGCCTCTCTAAGACTGTTTCCTTATTGTTAAATGGGAATAAGAGTACTGATTTCACAAGTCTCCTATATGTTTCCATGAGATAGTTAAAGATAAAACCCAGTTGTTTTTTTGTTGTTTTTTTGAGATAGAGTCTTACTCTGTCACCCAGGCTGGAGTGCAGTAAAGTGACCTTGGGTCACTGCAACCTCTACTTCCCAGGTTCAAGCAGTTCTCCCACCTCAGCCTCCCGAGTAGCTAGGATTACAGGCATGTGCCACCACGCCCAACTAATTATTTTGTATTTTTAGTAGAGATAGGGTTTCACCCTGCTGGCCAGGCTGGTCTCGAACTTCTGACCTCAGGTGATCTGCCCACTTCAGCTGGGATTACAAGGCATGAGCCACCACACTCGGCCATAAAACCCAGTATTAACAGCAAGGGGTTACCTGAATATTATTTGTCATCATTGTTGTTGCTCTACCTGCTCAGATCAATCAAAGTTATGCATAATCCTAGCCAAGGGACCATGTGTCACTGGTACAATTTGCAAAATTCTAACATCTAACTGCCGTACTTTATTAAACAATGAAGAATTAGTGGTAATTAATAAAAATACAATAGGAACATTAAAATTATGCAATCAGTAAAAATATTTTACATTTTAAAACAGGCCAGGCACAATGGCTAGTGCCTGTAATCCCAGCACTTTGGTAGGCCAAAGTGGGTGGATAACTTGAGCCCAGGAGTTCAAGACCAGCCTGAGCAACATAGTGAGACCCCATCTCTACAAAAAAATACAAAAATTAGCTGGGTGTGGTAGCATGCAACTGTAGTCTTGGCTACTCAGGAGACTGAGACAGGAGGATCAACTGAACCGAGGAGTTCCCATGCTGCAGTGAGCTACGAAACATCACTGCACTCCAGCTTGGGCAACAGAGTGAGACAGATCCTGTCTCACAAATAAATAAATAGGGCTGGGCATGATGGCTTATGCCTGTAATCCCAGCACTTTGGGAAGCCAAGATGGGTGGATCACTTGCGGTCAGGAGTTTGAGATCAGCTGGTCAACATGAGGAAACCCTGTCTCTATCAAAAAATACAAAAATTAGCCAGGCATGCTGGTGCATGCTTGTAGTCCCAGGTACTCAGAAGGCTAAGTTGGAGAATCACCTGAACCTGGGGGCGGAGGTTGCTGTGAGCCAAGACAGTGCCACTGCACTCCAGCCTGAGCAACAGAGTGAGACCCTGTCTCAAAAATAAAAATAAACAAAAAGAATTAAGAAATAGAATACGCATGGTATAACTATGCAAAATACAGCTCAAAATATGGCCAAGCACAGTGGCTCATGCGTGTAATCTCAGCAGTTTGAGAGACTGAGGCGGGCAGATCACTTGAGGTCAGGAGTTCAAGACCAGCCTGCCAACATGGAGAAACCCTGTCTCTACTAAAAATACAAAAATTTAGCAGGGTATGATCGTGTGTGCCTGTTTTCCTAGCTACTCAGAAGGCTGAGGCAGGAAAATTGCTTGAACCTGGAAGGTGGAGGTTGCAGTGAGCTGAGATCGTGCCAAAGCACTCCAGCCTACTTGACAGAGTAAGACTCTGTCTCAAAATAAAAATAAAACTTAAAATATTATGAGCAAAATAGAAAATTATATTTAGGGCTAGGTGCAGTGGCTTACGACTGTAATCCCAGCACTTTGGGAGACCAAGGTGGGCAGATCACAAACAAGGTCAGGAGTTTGAGACCAGCCTGGTTAACATGGTGAAAGTCCATCTCTACTAAAAATACAAAAATTAGCCGGGTGTGGTGGTGTACGCCTATAATCCCAGCTACTGGGGAGGCTGAGGCTGGACAACCACTTGAACCCGGGAGGAAGAGGTTGTAGTGAGCCAACATCGTGCCACTGAACTGTGCCTGGGCGACAGAGCAAGACACCATCTCAAAAAAACAAAAGAAAAGAAACTAAGTGAGCCACTGGTTATCAAATGGGCCTGCTGGGCCAGAGCCTACATAAATCCCAGTCTCACACACAGGTGTGTATTCCCCTATGGGAGGACAGTTCATATGGAATATACATAGCAGCAGCTGGTGACACTAGCTAACTAACATCATGCACTCTTAGGGTATTAATAATGGTCACTGCCAACATGGGAGCAGTTACTCAGAGACAGAGAGCAGAAAACATGTACGTTATTATTATTTTAAAAAAGAAAAAAAGAGAGAGAAAGAGATGAGGGTCTCCCTATGTTGCCCAGGGCTGATCTCCAACTCCTTGGCTCAAGAGATCCTCCTGTCTCAGCCTCCCAGAGTGCTTGGATTACAGGGATGAGCCACCATGCCCAGAGGAAAATACTGTAAATTAAATCCTCAAAGGTGCTGGTTCAAAAGTGAGGGGGAACTCAATTACTCTTGGAGTATGGTCATCTACTAATACCAATTTATACCTCTTTTAGAAGCAATATGGACTGGTCCGAAGGTAGTGAGTTATCTCAATTGATTGTTCACAGTCAGTTACGGATCGAACTCCTTGTTCTACTCTTTCCCCCCTTCTCACTACTGCACTTGACTAGTCTCAAGAAAATTTAAAAAAAAAAAAAAGCAGCAGTATGAAAATCACTATTTCCAAGTAGTTATTGGTATTATCATTTACATGCTCTGTCCTCTCCCTCCTGTTTAACAGATTATCGTTTGCAGGAATCAAGAAAAAGCACAGAACTCTCTCCTTGGGCATCCAGGCTAAAAATCTCAAGTGTCACCCTTTGCTCTTGTTGCTCCTAAATTACTACTATACTTTGGTATATGCAGAGAAAAATGGTCCACAAATTTTGCGTTTTCTTTTTTTTGACAGAGTCTCACTCTGTCTCCCAGGTTTGAGTGCAGTGGCACGATCTCAGCTCACTACAACTTCCGCCTCCTGGGTTCAAGCAATTCTCCACCTCAGCCTCCTGAGAGGCTAGGATTACAGGTGCCCACCACCACGCCCAACTAATTTTTGTATTTTTAGTAGAGATGGTGTTTCACCATCTTGGCCAGGCTAGTCTTGAACTCCTGAACTCATGATTCACCTGATTCAGCCTCTCAAAGTGCTGGGATTACAGGCGTGAGCCACCGCACCCGGCCCACATTTTGCTTTTAATAATGGTAACCATGGCCAGGTACGGTGGCTCACGCCTGTAATCACAGCAGTTTGAGAAACCAATGTGGGCAGATCACAAACAAGGTCAGGAGTTCAAGACCACCCTGACCAACATGGTGAAATCCTCATCTCTACTAAAAATACAAAAATTAGCCGGGCATGGTGGAACATGCCTGTATCCCAGTTACTCAAGAGGCTGAGGCAGGAGAATTGCCTGAACCTGGGGGACAGAGGTTGCAGTGAGCCGAGATTGTGTCACTGCACTCCAGCCTGGGTGACAGAGCGAGACGCCATTTCCAAAAAATAATAACAATAATGGCAACCCTAAGCAGTGTTTTCTTTCTTTATTTTGGGGGGAGGGTGTGGAGATAAACTCTAAGATGTCTCCTAATAATCCCTGCCTCCTGGTATTCATGCTATGATATAATCTCTTCCTCTTGGGTGCTGGCAGAAGCTGTTACTTCTTTTTTTTCTTTTAATTCAGTCTCCATAGAGATGTCAAAATTTGCCAATGCCAACTATGTTGCAACTTGTCACCCTGGTGTACTGGGAAAGTTTTCAATTATTTCAATAATCATGCCTCAAACCTCATTGGCTACAATACTGCCACTGGGCAAAGCTGTAACCAGTCTCTAACAGAAAATGGCAAAGAAGACACTATGTCACTTTTATGATTGTATTACATAAGACTAGAGTGTCCATCTTATTAGAAGGCAGTCTACCACGCTGTCTTAGTGAAACAAGCTGCTACATTGTGAGCTATACATGGGGCAAGGAACTGAGGGAACCAGCAAAAAACCAAGCCCCTCAGTCTGACAGCCTACAAAGATTGAAGGCCGCCAACACTCAGGTAAGCCTGGAGCCCTCCCCAGTAGAGTCCTCAGATGAGACTACAGCCTAAGCCACCCCTTGCATTGTAAGCTTGCAGAGGACCCGGGTAAGCTGCACTTGAACTCCTCACCCACAGAAACTTTGAGAAAACAAACGTGTTATTTTAGCTACTATATTTGTGGTAATACTGCCATACAGCATAGAGTGGGATCAGCAGCCCTCTCATTTTCTATATATACTTGAGTAAGCCTTATACTTTCCCTTTTAGAGTAAGCTTACACTATGTTTATACTAAAAAAAAAAAAAAAAAAGTTTGTAACTTGTTTTCTGAAATTTGGCTTAGAAATAAATATCCTATTTAATATTTTGTATGCCCATTGCCAATATCAAATGACCTCACAACTGGATGACTATGATTAGATGATGATGATGGTGATATTCAGTCTGGCTGGCAATTCTCAGTCTGGCATTCAAGGCCTATGTCACCCCAAGTGGCATCTTGCTTTCCAAACACACCTCCCATTCATCCACAAGGAGGCCTCAGCTCCTGCTCCAGCAACTGCTTCATGCTCTCAGAGTTCACACCCCTGCTTGGCCTGTGCCCTCTTCCTGCCATTCCTCCCTGGCTCAGCCATATCTTCACTTCCATCCAGACCCAGCTCACTCCACAAACAGGAAGACACCCAGATGGCCCTGGTTCTCAGGGACCACATGCCATCAACTCCTGCCACAAATGACTATCTGCTGTACCTCATCATCTGCACTTAATATCTGCTCCTGGATCCTGTTATTTGTTACTTCTCCAGCCAGAGGAAAAGAGCCACTTCTCGTTGTCATGTGTTCCCTCAGGACCAAGGCCAAACACAGTTGGTGTTCTTGTTGGCAATGACACCATGCGGCCCAGTAATCTGATACCTTTTTTGACATATATTTCACATACTATAATAAATACAATATTTTTCATGTCTGTGAAGGAATAACTTTTTCAGCTTGAAGCATCAAAAAGCAATCAAAGGATTGGCTGAGACCAGGTGCGGTGACTCACACCAGTAATTCCAACACTTTGGGAGTGCAAGGCAGGTGGAACACTTGAGGTCAGGAGTTTGACCAGCCTGGCCAAAGTGACAAAACCCCATCTCTACTAAAGATAGAAAAAAAAAAAAAAAAAAGTGGGGGTGTTGGGGGGGCACCGGAATCCCAACCACTCGGGAGGATGAGGCAAGAGAACTGCTTGAACCCAGGAGACGGAGGTGGAGTGAGGTGAGATTTCACCACTGCACTCCAGCCTGGGCAACAGAGCAAGACTCTGTCTCAAAAAATAAATAAATAAAAAATGGCTGGGCGTGGTGGCTCATGCCTGTAATCCCAGCACTTTGGGAGGCTCAGATAGGCCAATCACAAGGTCAGGAGTTCGAGACCAGCCTGGCCAATATGGCGAGACTCCATCTATACTAAAAATTAAAAAATTAGCTGGGTGTGGTGGTGGGCACCTGTAATCCCAGTTAGGAGGCTGAGGCAGGGGAATCTCTTGAACCCAGGAGGTAGAGGTTGCAGTAAGCCAAGATCTCACCACTGCACTCCAGCCTGGGTGACAGAGCAGGACTCTGTCTAGAAAAAAAAAAAAAAATTAAATAGCTCTGTATTTACTGATATAATCTCAAGATTATAATTTTTTTGGCATTAAAATAAATAATGATAGGAACAGGTTATAACCCATAGAGGGACGTAAGAATCCATGAGCCCATGCAGATAAACAAGGAAAGAAGGGAGATAAAGCCTCCTAAGACAGAATATAAACTAACACATATTGAAAGAATGATGAAAGTTAGATATCACCATTTGGCAACCATCACAGTAAAAATTGTTTCAGGCAAGAAATACCAGTGGACGATAAAATAATGGATGAAAGTTTGATGAGGAAATAAGATATTTACATAGTCTCGAAATTTCTCTCACAAGAAACATATTCATCATAAAGGGGGTAATAACAGCTTTATAGCAGAAAAAGCTGGTGGATACTACCCTAGGTAAGTGATAAAAGTTAATGTCACCAGTAGATGAGACAAACAGGTTATCATGTGCCTCCTGATAGAATGCACTTGAAAAGGACACATCATCACTTACGTGGTATTTCTGTGAAAAGTGAATAGCCCAAATCAAATTATGAGGATACATCAGAAAAACCCAAATTGAGAGACATCATATTCTTCAGAAATGTAATGTCAAGGTCATAAAAGACAAAAACTGAAGATGTCATTTTTTAAAAGAAAAAAAAAAAACAAGCTTAGTTCCCTTATAAAAAAAAAAAAGTAGAAGACTGAAGATCTTCTACTCCAGTAAAAAAAGTAAAAGATTGAAAATCTGTTTCAGATTAAAGGAGACAGAAGAGGCCAGGAATGGTGGCTCATGCCTGTAATCCCAGCACTTTGGGAGATGAGTGTATCATGAGGTCAGGAGATCAGGACCATCCTGGCCAGTATGGTGAAACCCTGTCTCTACTAAAAATACAAAAATTAGCTGGGTTTGGTGGTGCCTGCCTGTAATGCCAACTACTCGGAAGGCTAAGGCAAGAGAATTGCTTGAACCAGGAAGTCAGAGGTTGCAGGAAATATGACAACTAAATTCAATGTGTGTTCCTGGATTGGATCTTGACCAGAAATAAAAAAAATTTACCCCCATTTTTGCCACAAAGAACATTATTAGAAAAACTGGCAAGGTTTTTAAAAGGTCTTGATTTTGATTATATTGTAGAAATGAAAGACAACGTCCTTGTTTTCAGGAAATACACGCTGAAATATTCAGGGCTAAAGGTCTGCAATTTACTTTCAAACAATTCAAAAAAACACATTAAAAAATCTGGAAGAGAATAAAGCTAACATGGTAAATTGCTAGCAACTGGGGAATCTATATTTCCAACATAAGGAAAGGTATAAGGGAAATCTTTTTGTTATTTTTGCAACTTTTTTATAAATCTGAAATTATTTGTCACCTTTTTTCTAAAAAAACACACTACACAGATATATAAATCTAAATTATTTCTAAATGTAAACTTCCTAAAAATATATTCAGGAAAAAATATGCATCTATATATGCAGGAAAAATACTTTGAGGCCACAAATACCCAAGTGGAAAGAAAGGAACCGTGCCGACATACAGTCCTGGTGAACATTTCAAGGAATGTCACAGTCCCCTGGAATGCAGATCTCTGCACTCAGCCCCCACAAAAATCACTGAGCACTCATTCCACAAGGTGGCAGAGCTGCCCCAAGTGCCAGTGTTAGGTTGGAACAGCCAGCTCTAGACTAGATGCGTTGGCCTCCCAGCTCCTCCTCCTGCTACCCAGGAGACTCCTTCACACCAGTTTCTCAGATTGGGACTGACTCCATCTCAATTTAGAAATGCAAGACTGTGGCACCAGCTCAGGAAATCAATAACTAACCAGTGACTAACACAGCATCCCAGCTTCCAGGGGCCTGGCTGGATGCTTCTGATGACAGTCATGGTCCCGACCTATTTCCTGCTTACTTACATAATACATTCCTGGTGAATGAGTTCTCAACAACCTCCCTCTCCCCTAGCAATCTTTCTGGATTGTCCTGTACTCACTACTAAACCTGTGTACCAAAAGAAACACCATTTAGTTTCCAGATCAACACATTTTCCACAACTCAAATAATTAAAAAGGCACCACCCAGTCCTGGAGTACTGACATCATTTGTACCAAACACTACGCTTCAAACCTTGCCACCCTACTAAGCCTCTTACTCTGAGTGTACACACTGCTTTAATGAGTGCCCTGAGAGCAGAAATTTGCATCACATGCTGTGCAATGACCCTAAAGGTAGGGACTCTGTTCATTTCACTTGACTTATATAGTACCCAGCATCATCTCAGATGGAATTAGATACTCAGCAGGAAAACAATAGCTACAGACTCTGGGCCAGGCACACTGGCTCACAACTGTAATTCCAGCACTTTGGGAGGCCTAGGCAAGTGGATTGCTTGAGCTCAGGAGTTCGAGACCAGCCTAGGCAAAATGGCAAAACCCTGTCTCTACAAAAAATACAAAAATTAGCCAGGAGTGATAACGTATGCCTGTGGTCCCAATTATTCAGGAGGCTGAACACTGAGAGGATCACTGAAGCTCTGGAAGTCAAGACTGCAGTGAGCCGTGACAGCGTCACTGCATTCCAGCCTGGATGAAAGTGAGACCTTGTCTCAAAAAAATTTAATTTAATTTTACCAACCTCTACAATACTGACCATTAGGAAGTGTGCCACTCTAGCTAAGTCATTCCTTCATGCCAAATATTAGGCTCTTTGTCTGTAAAACAGGGAGAATTAATAGGGAAAAGTTAAAAAGAACTTAAATATCTTTCAGCAGGGACTAGGTAAATAAATTATGGAACATCCATACAATGAAATAAATTATACATAATTGTTTTTGTTTTTCCAGAGATAGGGTCTCACTCTGTCGTCAAGGCTGGAGTGCAGTGGTAGGATCATAGCTCTCTGCAACACTGAATTCCCGGGCTTAGAGTGATGCTCCCTTGTCAGCCTCCCAACAGATGTGTGCCACCAAGCCTGGTTAATTTTTTAATTTTTTGTGGAGACAGGGTCTCAATATATTGCCCATGCTAGTCTTGAACTCTGAGCCACCTTGGCCTCCCAAAGTGGTGAGATTACAGGTGTGAGTCACCATGCCCAGCCCTATCTCCTTTCACAATTACGTATAATTAGGCCGGGTACAGTGGCTCAAGTCTGTAATCCCAGCACTTTGGAAGGCCAAGGCAGGCAGATCACCTGAGCTCAGGAGTTGGAGACCAGCCTGGACAATATGGTGAAACGCTGTCCCTACTGAAATACAAAAATTTAGCTGGGTGTGGTGGCATGTGTCTGTAGTCCCAGCTACTCAGGAGGCTGAGGGAGGAGAATTGCTTGAGCCTGGGAGGTGGAGGTTGCAGTGAGCCCCGATCATGTCATTGCACTCCAGCCTGAGTGACAGAGCGACACTGCATCTCAACAGAAAAAAAAAGGAAAAGAAAAAATATAATTAGCCAGGCATTGTGGCACACACCTGTAGTCCTAGTAACTCAGGAGGCTGAGGCAGAAAGATGGCCTGAGCCCAGGAGGTCGAGGCTGCAGTGAACTATGATCATGCCACTATACTCTAGCCTGGGTGACAGAGCAAAATCCTTCTCAAACAAATAAATGAATGAATACATAAATAAATATTACCCATCACTTTACTAATATATATCCCAATGGATCTACTTGCTCTGGCTGGGAATAAAAAGTATTCAATAAAAGTGTGCTTGAACAAGGTAGGAGGTAGGAGTGTATCTGCTATGCTGCAGGATAGCAAGGAGGCCATGCAGTTGCAGCAGAATCAACAGGCAGGTGAGTCAACAGGTGGCCAGAAGAAGCTGGGCCTGCAGGCCAGTATATGGCCCTGAGGCCCTCATGTCCAAATACTAACAGCAGTGAGCCATGGGGCTATGGGAGACAAGAATGTTAGTTGAATTATTCTTGTATATTTCTAGAGTTCTTTTTAAATTTATGAATATTTTTTAAATTACCCAAAAAAAGCATACAGAATTAAGACAGGATGACTACCATAAAACAGGTGAAAGGCACAGACTGATAAAGTCTAAAGAAGGTCCTCGTTTTGAAAATTATATTGTGGTAATGTAGAAGAATGTCCTTGTCTTAAGAAAATATTATTATTATTTTTTGAGATGGAGTCTCCCTCTGTCACCCAGGCTGGAGTGCAGTAGCGCTATCTCAGCTCACTGCAACCTCCTCCTCCCGAGTTCAAGAGATTCTCCTGCCTCAGCCTCTCAAGTAGCTGGGACTACAAGCATGTGCCATCACGTCTGGCTAATTTTTTTATTTTTGTAGAGACGGGGTTTCACTATGCTGGCCAGGATGGTCTCAAACTCCTGACCTCAAAAGATCTGCCTGCCTCAGCCTCCCAAAGTGCTGGAATACAGGCATAAGCCACCGCATCTGATCCAGAAAAAGTACTTTGAAAAATAGAATAAAGCAAATATGGTAAATTGCTAGCAACTAGGGAATTTGGCAAAGGTGTATTCTTTCTACCAATTTTTGACAACATTTCTAATAATGAATTATTTCAAAATAAAAACTTCTTTAAAATATATGCAATAAAAATACCTTACAGCCACAAAACAGCTAAATGGAAGGAAAGCAAGCCTGCTAATAGGCTATCTCCTATGAATGCTCACTCACTTCCCTACAGAAACAACAGAGGCCAAGATTGCTCTAAGAAACCCACAATTCTACATTCAGTTAAAAGATCCTTCGAGAATAAAATGAAAGTTAAAGAAAGACAAGTTCAAGGCTGGGCACAGTGGTCATGCTTATAATCCTAGCACTTTGGGAGGATGAGGCTGGAGAATCTCTTGAGCCCAGTTAAGTTCGAGATCAACCTGGGCAACACCGTGAGAAATTGTGTGTGTGTGTGTGTGTGTGTGTATATATATATATATATATATATTTTTTTTTTTTAAGCTAAAAGTTAAAGAAAAAGAAAATTAGCTGAGCATGGTGGTACACACCTGTAGTCCCAGCTACTCAAGTGACTGAGGCAGAAGGATCACCTGAGCCCAGGAGATCCAGGCTGCTGTGGGGCTGTGATTGTGCCACTGCACGCCAGCCTGGGAAACACAGTGAGGCTCTTAATCTTTAAAAAAAAAAAAAAAAAGTCAAGTTCAAACAAAGAAAAACCAGAAGAATTTGTCATCAGGAAACCTATAAGAAAATCTGAAGAAAATTTCTTATGCTGAAGAGAAATATTCAGGAAGTAATGACGAACGCTGGAAATAAGCATGTGTAAATATGACTGTCACTTTTGCCTTATTGTCGTTAACATACATAACTGTGTAAAGCAAAACTCATAATACTATATCATAAAATGTATAGCAGGCCGGGCGCAGTGGCTCACATGTATAATCCCAGTACTTTGGGAGGCCAAGACAAGTAGATCACTTGAGGTCAGGAGTTTGAGACCAGCTTGACCAACACGGTGAAACCCCATCTCTACTAAAATACAAAAAAAATTAGCCAGGCCTGGTGGCGCATGCCTGTAATCCCAGCTGCCTGGGAGGCTGAGGCAGAATTGCTTGAATCTGGGAGGCAGAGGTGGCAGTGTGCCAAGACTGCACCATTGCACTCCAGCCTGGGCAACAAGAGTGAAACGTGTTCTCAAAAAAATAAATAATGAATTAATTTAAAAAAAAAAAAAATTTATAGCATATGTAGATATAATTCATGTGACAACTACAACATGGGAGAGGTTACTGGAACATTTTTACATACAAGTAGATCAACATTAACTCTAAGTGAACTATGAAAAGTTAAGGGCATATACCATAATCCATAGAGTAACTGCTTTAAAAATGCTAAGAAATACAGCTAAAAAATAACACATGAATTAAAATGAAATTCTTAAAAAATCAGTTAACCTAAAGAAAAAAGAAACAAAAGAACAAAACACAAATAAGATAAACAGACAACCAGCCTGGCCAGCATGTTAGACTGAAAACATGTTAGACCAAAAACCAACCATATCAGTAATAACATTTAGTCCAGATACGGTGGCTCGCGCCTGTAATCCCAGCACTTTAGGAGTCCGAGGCAGGCAGATCACGAGGTCAGGAGTTCAAGACCAGCCTGGTCAACATAGTAAAACCCCGTCTCTACTAAAAATACAAAGTTAGCTGGGCATAGTGGCGCACACCTGTAATCCCAGCTACTCGGGAGGCTGAAACAAGAATCGCTTGAAACTGGGAGGCGGAGGTTGCAGTGAGCCAAGATCACACCACGGCACTCCAGCCTAGGCAACAAAGCAAGATGCCATCTTCAAAATACATAAAGCAAAAATGACAAAATTAAAGGGAGAAATGAACAAACCTACAATAACGGAGATTTTAACAACTCTCTTTTACAAATTGACAGAATTAGACAAAAGGGAAAAAAACCCCACAAAACTCAATTTATCAGAGAAACACCATCAACTACCTTGATCTATTTCACAGATACAAAACAAACACACAACAATGGTAAAATACATATTCTTTTCAAGTGCATATGGAACATTCACCAGGACAGAGCTTATGCTGGACCATAAATTAAATCTCAACAAATGTAAAAAGATTGAAATCCTACAGAGTATGTTCTCTCATCACAGCAAAATTACATTAGAAATCAATAGCAACATAAAATACTTGAAACTAAAACAATATACTTCTTTATTTGTTGACCAACAACCCATGGTCAATAAATAAATCACGAGATATATTAAATTGAACAAAAACAGAAACACAACATACCCAAATTTGTAGGATGCTGCTAAAGCAGTGCTCAGTAGGAAATTTATAACTTTATTTTTATTTGTATTTATTATTATTATTATTTTTTTTTTTTTTTTAGACAGAGTCTCACTCCGTTACCCAGGCTGGAGTGCAATGGTGCTGTCTCAGCTCATTGCAACCTCTGTCTCCAGGGTTAAAGCGATTCTTCTGCCTCAGCTTCCCAAGTAGCTGGGATTACAGGTACCTGCCGCTACACCTGGCTAATTTTTGTATTTTTACTAGAGATGGAGTTTCACCATGTTGGCCAGGCTGGTCTCAAACTCCCGACCTCAGGCAATCTGCCCACCTCAGCCTCCCAAAGTGCTGGGATTACAGGCATGAGCCACTGCGCCCAGCCAGATATTTACAACTTCAAATGTTCATATCAGGAAGAAAGATCTTTTCCTCAGGTAAAGAAAAAAAAAAGGGAAGAAAGATCTAAAATCAATTAGCTAAAGTTCTAGAAAAAGTTGAAGGAAGAAAGAAAAATCAAAATAGAAATCAAAGATATTTAAAAAGACAAACAATAAAATTAAAGTAAAAGGTCAGTTCTTTAAAAACAAAATAGATAAAGCCCTAGTCATACTAAGAGAGGGAATACAAATTATCAAAATCAGAAATGAAAGGAGCATAACTTTAAAATGATAAGGGAATGTTATTAATAAAAGGTGAAAAAACATCAACAGAACAGTCAATTTTTTTGTTTTTGGTTCACAATTAAAGCATAGGCAAAAGTGTAAGAAGAGGATTAATTTAACTCTAAATATGAACCTTCCACAGTTGAAATATCTTGTAATTCCACAAGGGTAGAGGTCGGTTCCGTTTTCATAGTGTTTTCTCCCACTGACGGACAGTTCAACTCCAAGTCTGCAGCCCCAGATCCATCCCCAAAGGAGTGGCAAGTCAGTGCAGATGAGACCTGGCCAGCCTCCAAAGCAGACTTCAATTGACCTAAAAGAAAAAAAAAGTTTGGAGGAATGTATACATGTATGTAATTCTAAAGCCAAAAGTCCTACAACAGTCTACGAAAGCCACAGAAAATAATTAATCTAAAACATAGAAGTATACATTCACAGGTTCCAATACATACAGGCTAGCCTGTGAGCTTCTCAAAGAAAGAGAAAGTGAAAGGAGAAATTGCTGGAAGTATAAACACAAAGGCACAAATGAGACGGCAGCAGAGAGAGAGAAGCAGGGCTCTTCAGTGTACCTCCAGGCCAACACTGACACATAGACAAGCAAAACCAACCACAAATGCATCCGGAAAGTACGTCTAATGAATAAATCATCAGTGAAGAGCAATACATTATAAAAACACTGCAGTGCATTCAATAGTTTGATTTCAAGACAGTTTACTACTTGTGGAAGGCAGAACACAATGACTTTAATTCTCACTAAATAAGCACCAGGTTGGCAAGACAATTCCTGAACAGACTGACTCACCTTTTTCAGATTCCTTGGTACTAGACAACGTGTCTTGCAAAGGATCCGTATCAACCAAATCTGATACAACCAAGTCAGGATCTAGGATCTCATGGGTCCCATTAGTGGACAGCCTGGAGGAACGTCTCCTCGATAAGTCTTTGTCAGTGTTTTCCGAGTAGTTTTTTGACTTTTCCTGGGCTATTAAACCATTAAGAGAGTTGTAGTCAAGAGACCAAGAAGAAATAGTCTGCTACTACAGATTTCTGGGCTGGATGTCTCTATAAGGACTTTACAGAGAGACTCCTGGAATGCTAGAGATAAAAGGAAATACTCTTTCCTAGTTTACAGTTTTAAGTAAGGGCAAACCCTCCCTGCCAGGATAGAATTTCACTTCTTTAAGGATTCATAATCTGAAAACATGTGCCAGGTCATGTCCCAATCCTGACAACTATGTTCTATTTTGGGGCTTCCCAAATGTACTAACTTCCAAAGTCAATAAGGTTTATAAGAGCCTTACTTAGAGCCATCACAAATCCTTTTTGGAGCCAACGGGGTACTTCTGAAATTTAAATTTATTTATACAAGTCAATATAATAGTATTTTATTTATTTATTTATTTTTGAGACAGAGTCTCACTCTGTCACCCAGGCTGGAAGGCATGGCACGGTCTTGGCTCACTGCAACCTCCACCTCCCAGGTTCAAGTAATTCTCCTGCCTCAGCCTCCCGAGTAGCCGGGATTTCAGGCGTCCACCACAACGCCAAGCTAATTTTTGTATTTTTAGTAGAGACACGGTTTCACCATGTTGGCTAGACTAGTCTCGAACTCCTGACCTCAGATGATCCACCCGCCTCAGCCTCCCAAACTGCTGGGATTCCAGGCACAAGCCATGGTGCCCCAGCTGATAAGTAGTATTTTTTTTTTTCAATAGAGACGGGGTTTCATCATGTTGGCCAGGCTGGTCTCGAACTCCTGACCTTGTGATCCGCCCGCCTCAGCCTCCCAAAGTGTTGGGATTACGGATTACAGGTGTGAGCCACAGCGCCCAGCCTAATAAATAGTATTTTTAAAGTTTCACTCTGCATATGTGAAACCCATCCCTTCCTAAGCCATTAAATTTCCAGCAGCATCCAAATCAAATGTAATTTATGGATATGAAGTTGATACCATAGAATTCAACATTAGTAGTTTGTGTTTTGGAATTTCTTTTTCTTATAGCAAAAACTCCTTCTGATCCAAATGCGTCCCACTCACATTACCTTACGTGACCAGAGACAAACATTGGAGCCTATAGGGAATAGGGGCAGGATGAATAGAGAGGAGGTTGACCCAATGTCAAATTCTAGCCACACATAAACAAACTGGAGACTCACATGAATTTTTGTCAACCCGAGGACGTTTTAATGGGACTTCACATCCTTTTGATATTTTCCGTCTTCTCAATTCCAATGTTATTGGTTGCAAAGTTTGAGAGTTTGAATCCACAGCTGCAATGTTTATAAAACCACACAAAAAAAGATATGTAATTTCTTAGTGTCCAATCTGTCATTTTTATATATATATATTTATATATATTTTTTATATATATATATATATATATATATATGCAGAAATCACTGCATTATAAACAGAACATCAAAAGGGCATTCTTACTTAAAAGAAAAAAAGTAAAATGAGTAAGAAATTACTTCCTTATAGGAGATGGTGATACCTTGCAATTGACCTCCTCAATCTTTTCTATGATCCAGCTCCAGTTTTCAACCTCTACTTGCTACATTAATTGTCTTACCATTGGGCCTATTTTTTTTTTTAGATGGCGTTTCGCTCTTGTTGCCCAGGCTGGAGTGCAATGGCACCATCTTGGCTCACCGCAACCTCCGCCTCCCAGGTTCAAGCGATTCTCCTACCTCAGCCTCCTGAGTAGCTGGGATTACAAGCATGCGCCACCATGCCTGGCTAATTTTGTATTTTTAGTAGAGACAGGGTTTCTCCATGTTGCTCAGGCTGGTCTCAAACTCCCAACATCAGATGATCTGCCCGCCTTGGCCTCTCGAAGTACTGGGATTACAGGTATGAGCCACCGAGGCACTGGGCCTACTTTTGAGGGTACATGTAAAATGTCCAAGAGAATTTTTATTCTTTTTTTTTTTTTTTTTTAAGAGACAGAGTCTCTCTCTGTCACCCAGGCTGAAGTGCAGTGGCACAATCTTGGCTCACTGCAAACTCCGCCTCCCAGGTTCTAGCGATTCTCCTGCTTCAGCCTCCCGAGTAGCTGTGATTACAGGCACCCACCACCACACCTGGCTAATTTTTGTATTTTTAGTAGAGTCAGAGCTTCCTCATGTTGGTCAGGCTGATCTCGAACTCCAGACCTCAGGTGATCAGCCACCTCGGCCTCCCAAAATTCTGGCATTATAGGCATGAGCCACCAGGTCCAGCCAAGAATATGTATTTTCTTTCTTTCTTTCTTTTTTTTGAGGCAGAGTTTTACTCTTCATGCCCAGAATGGAATGCAATGGTGCAATCTCAGCTCACTGCAACCTTCGCCTACCGGGTCCAGATGATTCTCCTGCCTCAGCTTCCCTCATGGTTGAAATTACAGGCACCCGTCACCATACCCAGCTAATTTTTTGTATTTTTAGTAGAGACAGGGCTTCACTATGTGGGCCAGACTGGTCTCGAACTCCTGACCTCAGGTGATCCACCCACCTCACCCTCCCAAAGTGGTGAGATCACAGGCGTGAGCTGAGAATTTGTATTTTCTTAAACACAACCCTAAAAACGTTTTGGGGAGACTATGCTACTTAACAGTGTATGTTCCAGGCAAGGCTGCTAGTCACCAGCAAACCCAGCTGACATAATTTAGCAGTACAGATGCTAAGCTTTTGGAGAGTATTTACTATTTAGTTTTTCATTTGTTTGTTTGTTTGCATGTTTTTTTGAGATGAAGTCTTGCTCTGTTGACCAGGCTGGAGTGCAGTGGCGCAATCTCGGTTCACTGCAACCTCTGCCTCCTGGGTTCAAGCGATTCTCCTGCCTCAGCCTTCCCTGAAGCTGGGATTATAGGCACCTGCCAGCACACCTGGCTAATGATTATTATTATTATTATTATTTTTAGTAGAGATGGGATTTCACTATGTTGGCCAGGTTGGTCTCAAATTCCTGACTTCAAGTGACCCGCCCACCTTGGCCTCCTAAAGTGTTAAGATTACAGGCGTGAGCCACACACCCGGCATAGTACTTACTATTTAGTTTGGATTTTTTATTTTGTTTTATTTTATTTACTTATTTTAGTAGAAACGGGGTTTTGTCATGTTGGTCAGGCTGATCTCGAACTCCTGACCTCAAGTGATCCACCCACCTCGGCTTCCCAAAGTGCTGGGATTACAGGTGTGAGCCGCCCTGCTTGGCTTTTTTTTTTTTTTTTTTTTTTTGAGACAGAGTCTCACTCTGTTACCCAGGTTGAGCACAGTGGCACGATCTTGGCTCACTGCAACTTCCACCTCCTGGATTCAGGCGATTCTTCTGCCTTAGCCTCCCAAGTAGCTGGGACTACAGGCATGTGCAACCACGCTAATTTTTTTTGTTTGTTTTTAGTAGAGATGGGGTTTCACAATCTTGGCCAGGCTGCTCTCGAACTCCTGACCTTATGATCCACTCACCTAGGCCTCCCAAAGCGCTAGGATTACAGGTGTGAGCCACCATGCCTGGCGTGCCTGGCTTTTTTTTTTTTTTTTGAGACAGAGTTTTGCTCTTGTTGCCCAGGCTGGAGTGCAGTGCTGCAATCTGGCTCACCGCAACCTTCCCTTCCCAGGTTCAAGCGATTCTGCTGCCTCAGCCTCCCCAGTAGCTGGGATTACAGGCATGCACCACCAAGCCCAGCTAATTCTGTATTTTTAGATTTTTAGTAGACATGGGGTTTCTCCACCTTGGTCAGGCTGGTCTCGAACTCTGGGCCTCAGGTGATCTGCCCGCCTTGACCTCCCAAAGTGCTGGGATTATAGGTGTGAACCACTGTGCCTGGCTCTTACTATTTAGTTTTAACCTACCACTTAAGAAGCTCTCACCAAATCAGAAAAAATGAGAATCAAAAAGGCAAGCAGAAGAAAGAAACTGGGAAATCGGGCAGGAAAGCAGGGCTAAGGGGTCTCAGGAAGGGCAAAAGGAGAGGAAAGAGGAAGGAGGAAAGGAAGAGGGAGGAAGATAAGTAAATGGGAGGAAAAGAGGAAAGGAATGGAGAAAGACGAGACCTGTAGCTTCTAAGACCTGTAGCTTCAGGTCAGTCAAATGGCTCAACAAAACACAGGCCTGAAGTGTGTGGAGGCAAACTAGAGGAGACCATTGAACTCCTTGGTTCTTCCTGTGTTCAAGTTTCCCAATGCACCGATATTATTTTGTTGAAACTGGCAGAACTTGGAGATCTCATATATTCCAAGTTAAACATAAATACAAACATGCCGGGCATGGTGGCTCACGTCTCTAATCCCAGCACTTTGGGAGGCCGAGGTGGGCAGACCACCTGAGATCAGGAGTTCACGACCAGGCTGGCCAACAGGGTGAAACCCGTCTCTACTAAAAATGCAAACACTTAGCTGGGCATGGTGGCACACGCTGTAGTTCCAGCTACTCAGGAAGCTGAGGCACAAGAATGGCTTGAACCCAGGAGGCAGAGGTTACAGTGAGCCAAGATCATGCACTCTAGCCTGGGAGACAGAGTAAGATTCCATCTCAAAAAAAAAAAAAAAAAGTAAAATAAATAAATACAAACAATCCTCTCTAAGTAGCTCAGATACTGTTCACAATCAAGTCTATACAACCCAGGGTGCTCAAGGAAGGCTCTACAAGTCAATGACCTTATTCCAGGTAATGTTTTAAGGGGATTTGTTTTTTGTTTTTTTTTTGAGACAGAGTTTCGCTCTTGTTACCCAGGCTGGAGTGCAATGGCGCGATCTCGGCTCACCGCAACCTCCGCCTCCTGAGTTCAGGCAATTCTGCTGCCTCAGCCTCCTGAGTAGCTGGGATTACAGGCACACGCCACCATGCCCAGCTAATTTTTTGTATTTTTAGTAGAGACAGGGTTTCACCATGTTAACCAGGATGGTCTCAATCTCTTGACCTCGTGATCCACCCGCCTCGGCCTCCCAAAGGGCTGGGATTACAGGCGTGAGCCACCGTGCCCGGCGGGGATTTGAACAATATATGGGATATTTGGCAAGTCTTCTTCCCTTTGATACCATATAGAAACGGCCTCACTAGACAGAACTTGAGTTTTTCCCAAACTCCTCTTACAGTGTAAGTCACCTGGGAAGCTTATTAACAATTCATATTCCCAGGTTTCCACCCAGACAGTCTGACTGTTTGGACTAAGGCATGGCTGGAATCTGTTTTTACAAGTGCCTTGGGCAATGATTCACTGTAAAGTTGGAAAACATCCTTTCTATATTAAAGTTATCCTACTCACTATGAAGTCCTGCACTTATTTTAAAAAAATGTCCTTTCTCTTATCTCAATGGAGTCATGTGGCTTCAAAGGAGTAGTCTACTTGTTGGGGTACTACTACTCCTGTACATACTTTCTGGAGGGTATAAGCCAGGGCATGAATAGCTAAAGGGGAATCAGTTTCAAAACATTCAGGTCTCACACATACTCTTTCCTAAACTGAGCTAAGGACACGTCAGATTTCTGCCAGTTTACATTTTCCACCTCTCCTTGTGTAACTGCCTTTAACTGCCCTTCACTTTACATAAAAGGGCCTGCCTCTCACACATCCCACATCTTAACATGGTGCTCTATGGTATTCTGCCTGGAGGTTTAAAACTTCCAGATTTTCTCAACTGGTGTTCCTCATCTGAACAGAGAGATATTTTCTCTGTTTTCCTAAGGGTGGTATACAACTAGTTCTAATCTCAATGCACTAAAGTCAATCCATCACAGATTAAGGATGCCTTGGGCATTGTGGCTTCTCTCTCAGATCTCTGTTGAGAAAGTCAGTGAGCATAAAGCCAGTGCTGTTCAATGGAAATATACTAAGAGGGCAAGCCACATGTAATTTTTTTTTTGAGATGGAGTCTCACACTGTCACCCAGGCTGGAGTGCAGTGGTACGATCCTGGCTCACTGCAACCTCTGCCTGCTGGGTTCAACAGATTCTCCTGCCTTACCCTCCCAAGTAGGTGGGATTATGAGCCACCATGCTCATCTAATTTTTGTGTCTTTAGTAGGGATAGGATTTCACCATGTTAACCATGCTGGTCTCAAACTCCTGACCTCAGGTGATCCGCCTACCTTGGCCCCAAAATGCTGGGATTACAGGCGTGAGCCACTGCACCCAGACAATTTTTGTATTTTTACTAGCGACGGGGTTTCACCATGTTAGCCAGCCTGGTCTCAAATTCCTAAGCCACCACGCACCACCAATTTTAAATTTTTTACTAACCACTTAAGAGGGTTTGATTTTTAAGTGCCAGGCATGGTGGCTTACACCTGTAATCTCAGCACTTTCAAAGGCCAAGGCAGGAAGATTGCTTGAGGCCAGGAGATTGAGACAAACCTAGGCAACAAAGTAAAACCCTGTCTCTACAAAAAATAAATTAGCTAGGCATGGTGGCATGTGCCTGTAGTCCCAGCTAGTGGAGAGGCTGAGGCAGGAGGATCACTTGAGCCCAGGAGGTAGAGAATGGAGTAAGCCACAATCACACCACTGCACTCCAGCCTAGGTAACAGAGTGAGACCCTGTCTGAAAAACCAAAAAATGTTTAAAATGTTAATTTAAATAATATAACTTATTTAACCCAATACTTTTTTTTTTCTTTTTTACTTTAGGCTCTGGGGTACATGTGCAGATCATGCAGGATTGTTGCATAGGTACACACATGGCAAGGTGGTTTGCTGCCTCTAACCCCCCATCACCTATATCTGGCATTTCTCCCCACATTACCCCTCCCCACTCTCCCTTAATCCAATATCTTTTTAATTTTTTTTTTTTTAAACTGGGCTCAGCAATCTTCCTGCCTCAGCCTCTGGAACAGCTGGGACTACAAGCATGTGCCACCACTCTCAGCCAATTTTTTAATATTTTGTAGAGATAAGATCTCACTAAGTTGCCAAGGCTGGTCTTGAACTCCTGGGCTCAAGTGATCCTCCCTCCTTGGCCTCCCAAAGCGCTGGATGATTACAGGGATGAGGCACTGCACCCAGCCTTAAAAAACATTTCAACATGGAATCAATTTTTTTGTGTTTGAGACAGGGTCTTGCACTGTTGCCCAAGCTGGAGTGCGGTGGCCCGATATCAGCTCACTGCAACCACTGTCTCCTCGTTCAAGCAATTCTCTTGCCTCGGTCTCCTGAGTAGCTGGGATTACAGGCACCCACCGCCAAGACTGGCTAACTTTTTTTTTTTTTCCCAGTAGAAACAGGGTTTCACCATGTTGGCCAGGCTGGTCTCAAACTCCTGACCTCAAGTGATCCAACCGCCTCAGGCTCCCAAAGTGCTGGAATTATAGGCATGAGCCACCATGCCCGGCCATACTCAATATTTTTAAGTTGATGTGTGTTACACTCTTTGTACTAAGTATTTCAAATCCAGTGTTTACTTACACTTACAGCACATCTCGATTCAGACTAGTTACACTTCAAGTAGTCAATAGCACCATGCGGCTACTGGCTACCATAATGGACAGCAAAGGTCTAGGCCCTATTTAGCTCAAGGGACAATTACAGCATCCTCAGCTCCTGAGGACAAATCCCAGTTACAACCACTAGAGGGGAAGATCTCTTAGTTCATCTGGAGACGAATCAACCTATTATATAATTTCCTATCTTACAATGAATACTAATATATTTATGTGAAGAAAGCTAAATTTTTTTCCACAGAAATTAAGTTTGACAGTTGATTTGATAGGGAAGACTAGCTTTCCATTCTCTACATCGTTAGGGAATAATGAAAAGGCTTGCTTTGTAGTTCCACAGTTTTGATGAAAATATATGTCGCAGGCGCGCGCGCGCGCGCGCATTTGTGTGTGTGTGTGTGTGTGTGTGTGTGTTTGAGATGGGGTGTCACTACATTGCCTAGCCTGGTTTGGAACACTTGGGCTCAAGCAATCCTCCCACTTCATCCTCCAGAGTAGCTGGGACAACAAACATGCACCAATGCACTCAGCCTTCACGTTTTTGTTTCTTAAATATATCCACTGCAGCTATTTAAAATTGTGAGAAAAAGATAAATACTGCTTTAAAACGTGCTAGGGGCTGGGCACGGTGGCTCACGCCTATAATCCCAGCACTTTGGGAGGCCGAGGCAGGTGGATCACGAGGTCAAGAGATCAAGACCATCCTGGTCAACATGGTGAATCCCCGTCTCTACTAAAAATACAAAAAATTAGCTGGGCATGGTGGCACGTGCCTGTAATCCCAGCTGCTCAGGAGGCTGAGGCAGGAGAATTGCCTGAACCCAGGAGGCGGAGGTTGCAGTGAGCCGAGATCGCGCCATTGCACTCCAGCCTGGGTAACAAGAGCGAAACTCTGTCTCAAAAAAAAAAAAAAAAAAAAAGGGCTAGGGGATTCTCAGTTTGTCAGCTAAACACATAGAGAATGCACAATCAAGAATGTCTGAAGATCACTGCCAGATACTTAATCATAGGCAGGTTCAGTCTACAGACCTTGGGGGACTCCTCATGACACTGAATTGATCTGAAGAACGAGTGTTTGGCTTAGGAAGGAATCAGGGCTTATTTTATTCTTGGTTATTCTAGAATAATTCCAAATTTTAAGTTTTCTAGTAACTGTGCATTCTTCCCTAAATCTATACCCTCTAACCTTGTCTCTTAGCAATTAGCCACCTTGCTTATTTAGACTGTGAGAATTTCTAATCAATAATTACTCTCCAAGGAGCTCAATTACAAAATGTACCCAGGCATTTTAGCTCCAATGTTCCTTTGTCCCCGTCTCCTTCAGAAGCCCACACCTTTTTACTACTTCTTTTCTTTCACGTCTGTCTCACTAAAACTCTATTTCCTGATTCCAGGTTCCATTAAAATGACTTAAACGGAGATCATTCAAAAAAGCACAAGGAAAAGGCCTTGGTTTATCAGGTTTTCTCAAATAAGCTGAAGTATCTAGTCAACAGTTAGCCAGTGCTTCAGGGAGCTCAGTTATGAACACAATTCCCAACTTACATTCACCTGGAGACGTGCATCACTTAAATTCAGCTTCATGAACACAACTTGTTTCCAGATCATAAGACAATTCAAAGTCAGTCACAAAAACAAAGAATTGAAGTATACAAGTTACAAAGAACCACAAAGGGCCACAGAAGAATATTCTGGCATTGCCCATTGCAGAGCCCACTTGAAAAACTCACCAGCAGGAGCTATGGAAGGGGGTCTGCCTCGTTTTCTTTTGGGTTCCCTCAAGTTTTCTTGTGGACTCTTCACAATGTCATTTTCAGGTTTCTTATCCACTTTGGCTTCTCCAGAATACTCCCTGTCGTTTTCTGAAATGTTTTCCTTATCTTCCTTCTCGTTCTTGGGAAGGCTTTTTTCTGACACTTTCCCCTTTTCAGAACAGATCAACTTTCCTTCTTTATCAGGCTGCTTGGGTCGCTTTTCCGTCTTTAAGGGTTTATCTTCTTTGTCTTTCTTCACATTCACTGTGGCTTTTCTCTGTTCTTTAAACCTCTCTCGTTTATCAGGAGATGATGAAAGACTTTTGTGATCTGTTTCTTTAGGCCTAGCATTACCCACAATATTCTAAAATGAGCAAAATAGCGATGAAACACTTTGTGATTACTTGCAAATACAAAATCAGGAGTTTCTTACAAACTTAAGACAAACAAAGAAATTAAAAGAGGACATATGCCAGGTCACATACACAAAGCACCACTGAAAATATCCACCTGTCCTGGGTTGAGAACCAATCCTTAAACTTAAAACAAGGCCGGGCGCAGTGGCTCATATCTGTAATTCCAGCACTTTGGGAGGCCGAGGCAGGTGGATCACGAGGTCAAGAGAGCGAGACCATCCTGGTCAACATGGTGAAACCCCGTCTCTACTAAAAATACAAAAATTAGCTGGGCATCGTGGCGCACGCCTGTAGTCCCAGCTACTCGGGAGGCTGAGGTATGAGAATTGCTTGAACCCAGGAGGCGGAGGTTGCGGTGAAGCCGAAATCGCGCCATTGCACTCCAGCCTGGGTAACAAGAGTAAAACTCCATCTCAAAAAAAAAAAACTTAAAACAATTCAGTTCTTCCAGGGACAGAGCAATCTCCCTTATTATGATGAATAAGTCACTAGAAAATAAAATTCTGGTTCTTTTTGTTTTTTTCGTTTTTTGAGATGGAGTCTTGCTCTGTCACCAGGTTGGGGTGCAGTGGCACGATCTCAGCTCACTGCAACCTCCACCTCCCAGTTCAAGCAATTCCCCTGCCTCAGCCTTCCAAGTAGCTGAAACTACATGCGCGCCACTACTCCCTGCTAATTTTTTGTATGTTAGTAGAGACGGGGTTTCACCATGTTGGCCAAGATCGTCTTGATCTCCTGACCTCGTGATCCGCCCACCTCGGCCTCCCTAAGTGTTGGGATTACTACAGGCGTGAGGTACCGCACAAGGCCAACTCTGGGTTTTTGTTTGTTTTTGTTTCTGAGACAAGGTCTCTCTCTCAGTTGCTCAGGCTGGAGTGCAGTGGCATAATCATGGCGCATGCTGCCTTGACTGCCAGGCCCAAGCAATCCTCCCACCTCAGCCTTCCAGGTAGCTGGGACCACAGGCATGTTTCACCATGTCCAGCTAAGTTTTTTATTGTTATTTTTTGTAGAGATAGGGTCTCCCTATGTTGCCCAGGCTGGTCTCAAACTCCTGGGCTCAAGCAATCCACCTGCCTCAGCCTCCTAAAGTACTGGGATCATAGGCATTAGCCACCACGCCTGGCCTTAAAATTCAGGACAGGAATCTTTCTGGCAGAGGTGTTCTAAGAAAATGCCTTCATGCTCTGTCCTTACCTCCAGCATGACTATAGTGACCCAGAGCTTTTCAGAGGCGTGGTTCAGTTTGCCAGCATATCCTGATGTCTTGTGTAGAGAAAAACCCAAAATAATAACTGGAAGCTGAACAGGAAATCTATAAAGGTTCTGGGTTTTTCCAATCCAGAACCAGGGTCTCTGCTTCCTCTACTAGGTAAAGGCTGTGCTCAGTTCAACAGCCACCTACCGTGTTCCTGAGCTACTTGGGAGTTTTTGTGTATTGGTAGGAAATACTGTTTCTAAGTGACATTCTCCCTAAATTACATTCTTTAAAATTCACACTAAAAGTCACAGGTCCTCTAATATGACTGTTTCATAATAAGGTCAGGTCTGAAAACTGAAGATTCCAAAACTATAATTAAGTTTATTTGTGTACACATCTCTCTTCTAGGACCTCAAAAGAACAGAGACCACCATACTATGTTCATATGAGATCCCCAGCACCTAGCACACACCAGGCACATAGTTTCCGCTGGAAGCAGGAAGGAATACCTAAATACTCAATAAATAAAAGTTTAATTTGTTCTACTGGGAAAAATAACAAACAAGGAAATATTTTTTCAAGTCCCCAAAATTATCCTGAAAGCAGCCAGGTTTGAGAACAGGCATTCTTGTTAATGGCCAGCAGAAACAGAACGTGAAATCGCCCTTCTTACTGGGAGTTCAGGGAGGAGTTGGCAATTTGAGTCAAAACTAAAAAGCTTATACCTTTGAACTAGAATAAATTCCTAGAAATAAAATTAGCTAAGAGAATAATCAGACTTGTGTACCTGGATTTACAAATATCCTTAATGACCATTTGGGAATTAGTTACACAAAGTGCAGTTACATACATATTACAAAATACTACATAGCCATTAAAAATCATATTCTCAGAATATTAAGGAACTTGGGGAAATGTTAGTTAAAAGAAAAGAGCAGTACTATATGAATGTACCACAACTCCAGTTTTGAAAAGAAATAGATAAACACACACACACACACACACACAACACGTTTAATAAAAACACAGAAAGATATACACCAAATTGTTAAGCCAAGTTATACACCAAAGCATTAAGAACATTTATATCTGTTTGATGAAATTATAGTTTTTATTTCTTTATGCCTTGTACTTTTCAAATTTTCTATAGCAAACATGTATTACAACATCAAAAATATAAGTGTTACTAATACAGAGACTATCCAAACATTTAGGGCAGTGCAGTCCTACAGAACAAAAAAAATCTCAATCTATTCTAACAGTAAGTAGAAAAACCTTTAAAATTACCCATGAGAGATAACTCTAGCTAAACTGCTGTTCCCTCTTGGAAAAGAAACCAGGTCCAGGAGCCATGCACCTGTGTTTAAGGGCCTACCGGGCTAACGTTAGACACTCAGAGGCCACCGGGAAATGAGAAATGAAGCACGGCACCCAGAAATCCTCAGTGGGTAAGGCACCCACCTCCAAGCCAAAGCACTGTAAGTGCTATCCATCAATTTACTGAGTAAAGCAGAGTGAACAAATAAACATTTGTTATCTAGAGCCCTGGACTTCCACTTGGGAAGATCCTGGATATATTCTGCCAAATCTGGACAAGTTCATAATTCTGTCCTCTGTATTAACTCATTCCACAAACCTAACACAAAAATTGCAAAATTTAAGGCCAAAACAATGTTTTAGAGTCCTGTATGGCTCCTTACATGCCTGAGAGACAAGTGATCAAAGAAAAAGCATCATCAGGGCCCAAGCTTTATGTAATAATTTTGTTAATTTTCTGAAGGGGAAAACCAGCAAAAGGCAAAAACATTCTTGAGGTTACCTCTAAAGGTACCATGTATCAAAATCCTTTGAAGCAGCTAGGCATGGTGGCTCACACCTGTAATCTCAGCACTTTGGGAGGCTAAGGTGGGCAGATAACCTGTGGTCAGGAGTTCGAGACCAGCCTGGCCAATACGGTGAAACCCCCATCTCTACTGAAAATACAAAAATTAGCCGAGCATGGTGGCACATGCCTGTAGTCCCTGCTACTTAAGAGGCTAAAGGAGAATTGCTTGAACCTGGGAGGCGGAGGTTACAGTGAGCCTAGATCACACCACTGCACTCCCTCGTGGGCAACAGAGTAAGACTCCATCAAAAAAAAAAAAAAAAAAAAAAAATTCTTAGAAGCTTACAAATAGGCTGGGTGTGGTGGCTCATATCTGTAATCCTAGCACGTTAGGAGGCCTAGGTGGGCAGATCACTTGAGGTCAGGAGTACAAGACCAGCCTGGCCAATACGGTGAAACCCTGTCTACTAAAAATACAAAAATAAGCCAGGGTGGTGGCACACACCTGTAATCCCAGCTATTCAGGGGGCTGAGACTGGAGAATCACTTGAACTTGGGAGGGGGAGTTTACAGTGAGCAGGGATCAAGCCACTGTACTCCAGTCTGGGCAACAGAGAAAAAGACTCTGTCTCAAAAAAAGAAAAAAAAAATTACAAATATACATATAGAAGAACTCATTAAAAATCTCTGATAAGTAGAGTAGTTTGATCATCACAAAGAAACAACAGAGGGCCAGGTGCAGTGGCTCACACCTGTAACCCTAGCATTTTGGGAGGCTGAGGTGGGCAGACTGCCTGAGCTCAAGGGTTTGAGACCAGCCTGGACAACATGGTGAAACCCTGTCTCTACTAAAATACAAAAAATGAGCCAGGCGTGGTGGCACACACCTGTAGTCTCAGCTACCTAGGAGGCTAAGCAGGAGAATCACTCTAACCAGGGAGGCAGGGAAGTTGCAGTGGGCCAAGATTGCACCACTGCACTCTAGTCTGGGCAACAGAACAAGACTCTGTCTCAAAAAAAAACAAAAAACAAAAAAACAAAGACACAACAGGTTACATAGCATCACCAAATACTGTCACATCAACTGCCACCCAAGGAGCTGAGTAACCAGTTATGATGTCTCAGTGATAAAATCTTTTACTAAATTGCTAAATTAGCTGTCTCAACAGGTGAAATTAGTAATAATAAGGATTTTTAAAAACACCAATATCCAAATTTTGATCTCTATTTTCCCCTCAACTATTAAAACGTAATCACAGAAAAGACAAAAGGGGAAAAATCATGAAGTAAACAACACTTCTAGATGGCCTATCTAGTTTGCATAGATATCTATGCAAACCATATTTCCAGTATCAAAACTGAGGCCCCTTGCTCAGACAAGTAAATGCATGGTGACTAGAATAACAGGATACCAAATTCTCAAACCAGGCACATCTAACACAAGTGGCTGCTAAATCTGTGCCAAATGGTAGCTCTGTAAACCGCCAAGACACGGTCCTAAGCTAAAAGACAGACCTAGATATAAAGAAAACATACTGGAGATCTGTCTCCTTAAGAAATTCAGTTAAGTTCCCTGTGATGGCTAACAGCTGTGTGTGTGGGGGGGGGGGGGGGGGGGGGGCAGGGCACAAAGAGAAGAAAAGAATATCCAGACACTGTTGAGAAAAGATGAAGAAAACAGAATATAGGCAATGGTATCCAAGTATCTGGTACTTTTGAAAAAAATCTCTATTAAAAGGAAACAGTGGCCAGGCACGGTGGGGATCACCTGAGGTCAGGAGTTCGAGACCAGCCTGACCAATATGATCAAATCCCAATCTCTACTAAAAATACAAAAAAATTAGCCGGGCCTGGTGGTGCATGCCTATAATCCCAGCAACTCAGGAGGCTGAGACAGAAGAATTGCTTGAACCCAGGAGGCA